CCCCAAAACCCCAAAACCCCAAAACCCCAAAACCCCGGAATTCGGCCGAGTCCTTGAAAATATAGCTGAGCGTGACAGCAGGGAGACACTAGCAAGCCCAAAATTCAAGGGTTGACCAGAAGCCCTTTAGTAGAAATTCAAGCTAAAATCTTGAAGAGAAGTCATTAAGCATGATTTGTTCCTAGCTCTTGGCCTTTTTGATCCTGTGGTAAGATAGAGCATTCATGAGCTTATGGAGTTTCTTAACACTTCTGTGGATCTCAGAGGTCTGGCCTTTTGTGTCCTGGATCTGGTGAACTATAGATGAGGAGGCTGACATTACTGCAAGTGAAGGTAGGATCATCAGAGATCACAGGAATATCATCCCTAGGTCTCTTCTGCTTAATAAACATTGAGTTACGACCAATTTGTTTAGAGAAATGATAATTTGCTAGATCTTCAGTATTGAAACTTGAGAAATCTGTTAACTTGTGCTTGTAGTTGTTTTCATACTCTTCTAAGCCCAAATCGAAGAGGGATTTAAGTCTAGCTCTACCAAAGGAATAGCTCTTGTTACGGTTATAGGAGTTTGAAAGACTTGGCTTATTTCTGAGACATGAAAATTCTATTTTTACATGATCCTAGATGATAAGATGACAGTGCTACCATATCCCATATCGAATGGATCATCTTTTATAGGTGTATTTTTCTCTAAAGATGAGAAGTTTAAAGTACCTGAAATGATATACTTTACTTTGGCTTTTGTCTTAGCCGACCTCTTACTCATTAGCGTTTCCAAGCTGTTATAAATGCTCTTTCTACTAACTTTTTGTCTTCCTAGTTCTGGTAAAGTATGAACTTTATTTCCCTAGAAATAAATTTTATCACTAGAATTGTTACTTATCTGATTTAGAACATCAGTAGTAGTCATTTCTTGAGCTGTGTATCCATCTATATGTCAATTTAAACTATACCTTCATTTGAAATATCTCAGTTTGCCATTCTACATATATTAAGCCTCTATGTCTTACTGTTGGCGGAGATCTCTTCCTTTGTGTCTGTATCGTTCAATCATTTTATTTAACCCCATTTATACTCTAAAAGTAGTCTTTGAGGATACCTTAAGTTTCAATTTCTTGGGTTTAGCTTTATCAATCCAGTTCTCAAAGCCTTCAAGCTTTGTGGCGTAGTCCTGATATTCTCCATCCTGGTAGTCCTGGACAACGCTAAAAATCTAAGAAAGGCCTTACTCTTGAGTTGATGAATAACTGCTGGTCATTTCTACTGTAAAATCTCAATTTTTATAATAAATTCTGGGGTTTTGGGGTTTTGGGGTTTTGGGGTTTTGGGG